CATTTAATTAATTCCTTTTAGCCGCTATGAGTCAGGGATCTGGTATCTTCCTCCAGCAGACATTCATCTACTTCAACATCTACATCAACTTCATTTCTGGACATTTATGGTTTGATTTCTTTGTATGTATGGATCACTTGGGTTGTTACCGACATCTGGTGAAAATTTCATGTCATTAGCACCTCTAGTAATTCATTTACTGAGAAAAATGGTGACYTGTTCAATACTTATTTTACCCACTGTATTTTGCTGTTAAACAAACATAATACTCCAAAAATACATGTTAAAAGTTTTATTATCATCAAAAAAACTGAATATTAACTTATCAACACAAAATCTCTTAAGATTTGGTGTTGTAGTATAAGATTTAGTCACAATACATATTTCAAGTGCTAACAGGTCATGTCAGATCATCCAAGATATAACTGTGCATGGAACTGAACATAATTTTCATTTCAAGGTTTGTTCAAAAATACTGCAACTTGTCAACAAAAAATGATCCTAATCTGAGACTCTGGCCTGAAAGGCAGCAGGTGATTTCTATTCCTGTAAATAAGACAAGGCCTTTAAATGAAAATATTGTTCAACATTTGAGAAAAGAGACCTTTCCGTCTTACCTGCGTAAGGTTTCTGCTGCGTCAGTATCTCCCACATCACAATCCCAAAGCTGCAGATCAAAGCAGGAAGAAGCTCTTAAGTCAGAAGGTTTTGATTTTTGCTTTCTGTGCAATCAGTGAAGTTTGAAGCTTCCTCCCTCTTACACAGCATAAAAAGAAAGTTTCCTGTTTCTTGTTGTCAGCCAATAAAATATTGATATTATTAAAGGGCAAGAAAGTGAGTCGGACCAGAGGAAAAAAGTGGCAATGTTCCTGTAACTTGTGAAACAAAGAGAATATAGAACAGAGTMCAAGGTTGCACTGCGTGAATGTGGAGTGGTGCACTGAATCATAAAATGAAATGCAGCGATTCTGATTGTGTGTTTCTGAAGATGCTCCTTGCAAGTCACCTGTAAACATCAAATGCAGTTCCTGGTGGATCGGGGTCCTGAGTGAAGGTCTCRGGAGGAACGTAGCTAATGTTACCTCTGGCCATCAGACTCTCCATGAACACCTCCTTATTCATACCTTCTTCCCACTGAATGATGCTGAAATCTGAAATCTGAAGATGGAAAAAAAWCTTTTTTTAGGGATRCCATGTCATTTCAACAAATCACTGTCAGCTGCCAGAGTGTTTATGACCTTAGCATGAAGACGATCATCTAGTAGGATATTGGATGTTTTAAGGTTAAGATGGAGCAGTGGAGGTTTCATGCTGTGAAGGAAATCCATGCCCATGGAGACTTCATGAATCATCTGAAACTTCTTCGGCCACATTAAAGTGTGACAGGTGAGGAGATTATGCAATGATCCCTTGCTCATGTACTCCATCACAACTGCATTTGCTTCACTGCACAGTCCGTAAATGGACGTAACGTATTTGGATTTTAGTTTGGCTGTGTTGGACAGTTTATCTGCTATTTTCCTGTGATGAAGAAAAAAATAGACATATTGGGTTGCAAACATTATTTTGGCAAATGTGAAATAGTTGATGCTGATTAAACTGTCTGAGGTAAAGCAAAACCGTTTTTCTTTTTAAGTGAGGTTCCATGAAAAGGTTATTAATAATTAGCTTTTTAGTGTGTTTTAAGTAAATGTTTGGTTGTTTTAGCTTTTTGCTACTGGTATGTTAATTTTACTATTAACTTGAGTATAGTCAATTTTAGCTTTTAACTATTGTGTTGGTTTTTTAGTTTAGCTTTACAGTTTYTTAATGTTAGCATTATGCATGATTTATTTATTTTTGTTTTGTCTTTAACTGCTGTTTTGCCAATGTTGGATTCTGCTTAGCTTGTTTAAATTTTGCCAAGTTATTAATGTCTTTAACAGGTTTCTGTAAAATCACTCAGGTGCTCAGCTAGTACCCTGCGTTTAAGTGGAAAACATTATTTACCTTTCCACAGATCCCCACGTGAAATTATTTGAACTATCACTTTAATTGAAGCTTACTTTGCCCTCAMGAATTGCTAGTGAGTTATTTACTATCTTTAAGCACCTTACGAGACATGTATTTAAGAAAACCCTTACCTGTAAGTTTTGGGGGACAAAGTTGTGGTAAAAGTTTTGAGGGCACATTTGTCCCGCCGGAGCTTAATTTTGACCTGGTACACCTGACCAAATRTGCCTTCTGACAGCTTAATCCAATCAGGCTCAAAGTCATCCTTCCTGAAGTCCCTAAACTGTCCCGGAGTTCCATCACTGTAATCCATGAGTACAAGGATCCTCACAAACAAACCATCACATCACCCGCACTCTCTAATCCTGCTCATAAACAGGGTTTAACCTGCACATTAATATCATTCAGTGGTCCTGCGGGGCCTTGTGTCTCGCTGCGGGAAAGAGAAAGTTCAGAACAAACATTGTGATAGCTGGTTGTAAAGTCAGACTAAGGAACAGTAAACTCCTAATCTATGGGCGGGGCTAAGGTGAAAAACTTGTTTGCATTGTAATGTTGCTCAACTGGTTTCCAGRTTCTAAGACATTTTTGTTGACTTTCAGTCTTTCTCACCCTGTGCAACTACGCAATCTACAGTTATTTGTTAAAATGGTGTAAACGTTTGAGGACAAACAGCCTCAGATTTTAATTTACACKGTTTATWCATAAACACACACACAGACAAAAKCATTGTCASTRCATCTTTGATTTCTGCAGTGAATACTCCGCTACAAGGTTAGTGATTATATCTGAAATAATAAATACACCTGTTGTGATTTAGATCTGTATTTACTGTGAGCAAACTGCCTAATGAACTATCTTCRATCAATAGACAGTTTAAAGAAGACTCTTAACCCCCAGCAGCTCCAGTAAAATGGCTCAGTGGTCTGCAATTACAAGTTAAGGAGATGGCTCTTTAGATAATACTAGGTGCCAGTAATGTGTGTGTGTGTGTGTGTGTGTGTGTGTGTGTGTGTGTGTGTGTGTGTGTGTGTGTGTGGAGTTCAAAGGTCACCCATGCAGGCCACTTATNGTGTGTGTGTGTGTGTGTGTGTGTGTGTGTGTGTGTGTGTGTGTGTGTGTGTGTGTGTGTGTGTGTGTGTGTGTGTCCAGCTTGTATAGTCAACAAAAGGCTCCAACACAGTATCTTTAAATAGTTCATGCATGAATTGTTTTATGAACTCCAGCAAAAGTAATCCCTACATTAAATAATACAGTAGTTAAGTGTGGATTAGCTGTTTTCTGCTTTCCAAATCCATTTTCTTTGTTTCTTTTATTCTATATCAGATTCTCAGAACAGACATTGGTTGTCTTGTTTGACTTGTTTTCTAAGTTGTCAGACACCTTTCATGAAACTGTTGCAAAACACSCTGGTTTAGCAGCATTTTTTTAGTCTGAGATATCTGTATTCTCTTCACGGATCGAACGCTAACCCCAATTCCAGCTGTTTTCTTTTCGATTAGAGGGCTATCAAAGCTTTCCGAACCAAAGTGCAAACACATTAGAGTTACTTTGCTTTTGCTACACAATGTCAGGTAAAGGACACAAAGGCTTCTGTATTTCAGCAATAGGAGTGTTAAGACAGTCAAAATYTGCATATAAAAACATTTACAAACCACAAGTATATTGAAGTGGTTATATTATACAAAATGTTGCTTCTAAAATGTAAATCTGTTCTTTCATTTTTGAGCATATACTTAAACCTGACTCCTTYTGGTAAACAGTTAATAGTTTTCATTGTTTTTTTTTCTCACAAGTCTTTATATTTCCATGTGTTTTTGCATTTTTCTGTCTCCTGTTTTTACTTAATCTTATTCATTTCTGCCTCATTATGCAAACAAGGCGGGCTGCCTTTCTTAGGTTAGATTCTRTACTACTGGTCATGCATGCACTGCCTCAGTTTAACTTAAAGTTTAAAGTTTAGTTCAAAACACAGGGAAGGAGGAAAAACACCTGTCCCTCTCTGAAACTAATCCTTGCATGTTCACCAACTGATTAACTTGTGTGGTCCTAAATCAAGATGGTCAGCACATCTGGTCTTATCAAATATATAAATGGCTACAACTCAGTCAGTTTTGCAGATACTGAGGTGAAAATCTTGCATGGTAGTAGCTGAAAGTCATTCTCAACATGTATTTTGAAGTTTGAGATAACAAACAAGATTGTGCATAATGTCATTCACAAGGTTTGATCGAAACAGCTACAATGTTACTTTAAAATTATGTGGATATTATGCATTCCTTCCATTTTCTTTTTAATTAAGTTGTGTTTTTAATTGACAACCAAATACTTATATGTATCATTTTAAAAGATAAGGTACAGATGGCTATACAAAAAAGTAAAATTGGTCCATTTTTTTTCTGGCTTAACATTTACCACATCACATCATGACAGCATCAGTCTGAATTATTTWAAAAAAACAGTCTACGAAGGTATCACTGTTACAGTGAGAGGAAGTTATTTTGGGAAAATGCAAAACCAGAGACATCCTGACTTACTCTCCCCCATTATTCCCTCCTGCTGTTCTGTTTTACAGGCTTTTCAGTTCTATTGCTCCCCCATTCAGCCTCATTTCCAGCTAAATTTATCTGGGGACGTAAGGTCTAGTCGCAGTTTCAAAGAAAGTGGACTCACATGCATACATTTATACACGCACGCACACACACACACACACACACACACACACACACNCACACACACACACACACACACACACACACACACACACACACACACACACACACAGACATTCACAAACACTCAGAAATATGCATTTTTTTTCCTGGTGGTCTCCGGTAGCATAGGCAGACTTGTAGGTATTTCGGCCTTCTCCCTCAGGTTCCTTCACTTCGAGCACATTTACAGTAGATCATTTGGATTCCTGCTGAGAAAATGAAAAGCCTCTTCATTCCAAACTCACAGTCGTGCTCAACCCTCAGCAGGCATCACCTCATCTCTTCTTGTCCATCTTTCACTTACCGGAAATGTAAATGTGAGTTATTAGTATTTCTGTTCATAACTCGTGCCTCAAGAGAGTTCAGCTACAGGTCAGGCTGCTGCGTARGTTTCTACTCCTCCTTGCTGTGGGCTGGCTCTTTGTTCAGCCTTTCATTTCCAAGACACGGTTAGAAGTTCTGATTAATAAGTCGACTTCAGTAGAATTCCCTTTTGCGCCTCTTCCTTTTTTTATTTATTTTTTCTTGGCTCTTGCTGCTGAGCTGTGGTAGGGGAAAAAAGTCTCACAAGTCGTGGATAATTTACATTTTTTAAATCCATGTCCCATTGCCTCCATATGTCGTACCATGCCTCCAGAAACTGAAATGCAAAAAGGCTATAAACACATTACTGTGAAGCTTCTGTGTGATCATTATTTGTTTGTTTTCACCAGCACAATGTAGATCATTATGACTGATCCTGAAAAGGCCTCAGTTGAAAAGAGACAAATAATCAATCTGACAACCTGACAGATTTTCATAWTTAAACTGGTCTACGTGATCTTGGGGAATGTTTTCCARCACACTTGGTTTAAGCACCATATCTGCTCCACCTGTGTTTACTCTTTATAGGTTAATYCTCCTAATTTGAGAATTAACTCCTTGCAGTGTAACGATCCACCCAACACCCGATCCCTCACCTCGCCTCACCACGCAGGGTGGGGTGAAAGATAAACTTAACATTCACTGACAGCCATAGTTTCACGCTTCACTAATTCCCACAGTTATTGAGGACAGACTCTTGGATTGATGTTTCAATGAAAACCAGGCAGTCGTGATCAGATTTCTGATAGGCTACCTGAGGGGAGAAGTCTGTCTTCATTGACGGAAACCACATCTTGCAGGTCAGCCAATCGCATTAGCAGGCTCCACCACGCTGGGGGAAGCTGACTGGTTCGAGCCGGGAGCTCGTTTTCCATTCCCCCCATCACGTCCTCTAATAACTTCACTCTGAGCTCTCCAAACCGTATGCTCCAAGCATACACACCAGCAAATACAACCAAACAAAATGAAACATTGAGGGGCTTATCTCCTCTGTTATGTACGGAGATAAGTATTGCGATTCAGATTGGAACATTAATTGGCTCTTGAGTATTACTCAAGAGCCATAAACATGTTTTGATTAAATCCTCAGTATTTTTATTTATTTATTTATTTTTGCTTTCATTGTGGCACAGAATTAAAGATGCAAAAACTACACTCTAAAAATGAAATGTTGGTTTTACTTAACCATGTTATGTTACCTGGTTCCACTTGACTGAGTTGAGTAAATTCAAATTGACATACTCATGTTCTTTGGCTAAAAAACTGGTATATTGCTTTGAATTTACTCAACTCAGTTAAGTGGAACCAGGTAACATAACATGGTTAAGTAAATCCAACATTTCATTTTTACAGTGTGTGTAACATGAAAAATTAAAACTACAAAGGTACTCTTAGGGGACATTTCGTATTACTGCATTACATTTCTCAGTGCGTGGGTTCAATTGTGCCAGTGATGTCATTTAGATAAATTAGAAATAGAAACCTAAATTGAAACTGCATTTTTTTTTATTTTTGATTAAAGAGTTTTGGACAGCACCTGCTGTTTTAAATCGCATTGATACATTTCTATGAAAAACAGACTGATAATGAAAAACCATTGTCACCATTTGCTTCTAACATTTAGGTTCATGCAGTTTTTTTGTTTGTTTGTTTATCTAGGACTAATTGTTGATGTTTATACTTGGCCATCAGTTTTCATGCTTGTTACACAAAGCTGACTAGATCATACTGAGTGTATTTATGCTCCCAGAGTCCCTTATTCCCATTTTGAATTCTATTAGAAGCTAAACATTAGCATTCCAGTTTAGTTTGAGGCGTTTAGGCCCAGGCCTCCCTTGCAAAAGAGATTTATGATCTCAATGGGATTTGCCTGGATAAATAAAAGTTGATAAAACAGCAGCTTTTTTTGAATTGTATTGTTTTTCAAAATCTGCCTTTGTCAAGTTTACATGGGAAAAAAACATTTTTTAAATGAAAAAATGTAGGAGAAAATATTTGTTTTGCAAATGATCAGTGTTAGAGTGGAGGAGAGAGCCTCAGTACACAAAGTATGCGGGTATCKTTTATGTATTCAATATTTGTATCATCTTTTGGTATTATTTCATTATATTGAAATGCTAAAACCAACTTTCAATTTATAACCAAGCACATGTGTTTTTGTGTGTTTTCCTGCCGCAGTAGCTACTAGAGATGTGATGTTCACAAACGATCTTTGGAACCGTTCTTTACAGCGAATGATAGGAAAATTGCCAAAAGTAAAGAGCCATTTGAAGTTTTATTTTTTTATTCCTTGTATTGTAGTTATTATTTTCATCCTTAACCACAGAGACAATTGCTCCCCCTTCACTTTTTAACAGAAAAC